CCCCTATTGCCCAGGGGCCCCATGAGTTGTCAGTCCACCCCTGATTGCAGTTGTTGGGTCAGCAAAGAAAACATTTTTGTTTATTCAATACTTTGGTGGCTTACACTATGTACAGACTGAAAGTTGAATCTGCTTATATTTTGCCTTTCCTGGCTCCTCCCATCAATATGGAATTTTTTTTTTTTTCAATAAAAGCTTTCCATTTTCCTTACACACCTTATTTTTAGAGCCAGTGATGTCATCACTTGGTCTATGTGTTTCTCTATGCAATGCAGGCAGATCATGGCTGGTGAAAGGGGCTGGCAGGGTGCTGTGATGTTTCCAGAAAGCTATGTACAACACCCTGCCAGCCCCTCCCAGCAGCCTCAGTACTCCTCTCAAGAGCCTTCAGCCCTGATGAAAGCAGTGGGATGGTTCTTGGGAGGAGTTATGCAAACTCCAAAAACACCTTGATGGGTGTTGGTCTGGAGGAGTGGGCGTTCCTAGGCAGGCTGTATTTGCATATAGAATGCACACAGGTGATGCTGAGCCTCCATGAATGAAAGAGCTAAAATGCAATGAATGAAAGGGGTGGAACATGGAGAGTCGGACTGAGGAGGAAAGAGATAGAAGATGCTGGACGTCCTCCAGCCATGAAATGAGGCGGAGCGCTATCTGTCATGAAGCAGCTTCTGAAGAATGAAGGGGGCAGGATCAGGACAGTAAGACTGGGGAGGAAAGAGCTAGATGATGCTGGATGTCCTCCAGCCATGAAATGAGGCGGAGCGCTATCTGTCTGGAAGCAGCTTCTAAAGGATGAAGGGGGCGGAACCATGACCAGTAAGGCTGGGGAGGAAAGTGCTAGATGATGTTGGACGTCCTCCTGCCAGGAAATGAGGCGGAGCGCTATCTGTCTGGAAGCAGCTTCCAAAGGATGAAAGGGTCGGGGCCAAGACCAGTAAGGCTGAGCAGGAAAGAGCTAGATGATGCTGGATGTCCTCCAGCTAGGAAATGAGGCAGGCACTATCTGTCGTGAAGCAGCTTCTGAAGAATGAAGGGGGCAGGATCAGGACCAGTAAGACTGGGGAGGAAAGAGCAAGATGATGTTGGACATCATCCAGCTAGGAAATGAAGTGGGCTCTATCTGTCTGGAAGCAGCTTCTAAAGGATGAAGGGGGCGGGGCCATGACCAGTAAGGCTGGGGAGGAAAGTGCTAGATGATGTTGGACGTCCTCCTGCCAGGAAATGAGGCGGAGCTCTATCAGACTTGAAGCAGCTTCTAAAGAATGAAGGGGGCTGGGCCGAGACCAGTAAGGTTACGGAGGAAAGAGCTAGATGATGCTGGATGTCATCCAGCCAGGAAATAAGGCGGGCACTATCTGTCTTGAAGCAGCTTCTAAAGAAGGAAGGGGGCGGGACCAGGACTAGTCAGGCTGGGGAGGAAAGAGCTAGATGATGATGGACGTCCTCCAGCCAGGAAATAAGGCGGCGCTATCTCTGACTTGCTGCAGCTTCTAATGCACATTGTGAGCAGCTCACAGTGTGCAGTGATATCAGAGAAAACCATTTCAGTCCAGGAGAAGAGCCGCTACAACTCTGCAAAACGGGAGGGAAGGCTGGAGGTCAGAGTCGGAATGTAAGAAAAGCTCTTCCATGACTAACTAATTAACAGATCTCTCTGATGTTTGGTTGGAATTTTTAGGTCGGTGGAATTCTTATATCTGGTAAAGTCGATGTGTCACCGGTTGCCTCTCGTCTTCCCCCGGCCCTCCCGGACAGATCAATACGCTCTCTTTCCTCGGCAGTCAGGGACCTTTTTATTTGTGCGGCAGATGATCTAACAATGCCCCCTGTGTGCCCTTCTGGCTCGCAGTCAGCCGCGCCACAAAAGCGCCATCCACCTCGTTGTGTTGCGCCATCGCGCCCGTCCTCATTGTCAGCCGAGAAGAATTCATTAGCGATAATGAGATTTTCTATGGAAGTACAATGCAGCGCCGGCTTGTCATCCAAGAGTCGTGCCGCTGGAATCTCTGTCTCCTCCGCGGTTAGGTAGACGATTGGGCTGGCAGCCTTGTGTGTGGGTGTGACTATAGAGACTTGGAGAGGAACAACGTGGAGGAATCGTGATTTTGCTGCTTGGTTGGACATGTGATGCGTTTATAGCAGTCGTAGTGGGTGTTCTTGCAATGTCCCAGTTAATGTGCCCCAGTGTCCACCCTCCAGCCTCCACCCTGCTCACAATTCTTACTGCAGGCAATAAGACTCAATGTGGTTCATGCACAGGGACTACTATAGGCATTGGGTTTGCCTAGTGTGAATTTTCCTTCCCCAGGCCATGCTCCTGTAGAGGTCAATGCTTCTTCGTGTTTAGTAATGCATGTACAGTAGTCTGTGAGCATGAACCTGTGACATAAATGTACAGATTTGAGTAGCTGAAATGTGACCTGTAGCAATAAGTAATCGTAAATTTAGTTCATTCCTTGTCATTAAGGATGTGTTGAGAATTAAGGCAGATGGTCACCAATTAGCATCTGAAGGGACCTAGCTTCCTCTGGAAGTGACACCTGCTAATAAGATTTTGTCACCTATATGTAATCAGACTTTTCCATCTTCCTGAGGCTTAAAAGAGAAACTCAGACATTTCGGCTTCATGACCAAGGGGGCTCTGATCTGTCTAGGGAGCTCTAAAAGTATATACAGTTGCAAGAAAAAGTATGTGAACCCCTTGGGATTACGTGGAGTTTTGCATGAATTGGGCATAAAAATGTGCTCTGAACGTCATCTAAGTCACAACAATAGAAGAACACAGTCTGCTGAACATAATACTACACAAACATTAGATGTTGCCATGGTTTAATTGCACATAACATGTAAACATTCACAGTGCAGGGAGGAGGAAAAAGTATGTGAACCTTTGGATTTAATAACTGGTTGACCCTCCTTTGGCAGCAATAACCTCAACCAAACGTTTCCTGTAGTTGCAGATCAGACCTGCACAACGATCTGGAGTCATTTTGGACCACTCCTCTTCACAAAACTGTTTCAGTGTAGCAATATTCTTGGGATGTCTGGTGTGAATCGCTCTCTTAAGGTCATGCCACAGAATTTCAATCGGGTTGAGGTCAGGACTCTGACTGGGCCACTCCAGAAGGCGTATTCTGTGCTGTTGCAGCCATTGTTTTGTTGAATTACTTGTATGCTTTGGGTCATTGTCCTGTTGCATCACCCATCCTCTGCAGAGCTTCAGTTGGCGGACAGATGGTCGTACGTTTTCCTGCAAAATGTCTTGATAAACTCTGGAATTCATTTTCCCATCAATGACAACAATCCGTCCAGGCCCTGAGACAGCAAAGCAGCCCCAAACCATGATGCTCCCTCCGCCATGTTTCACAGTGGGGATGAGGTTTTGATGTTGGTGTGCTGTGCCTTTTTTTCTCCACACACAGTGTTGTGTGTTCTTCCCAAACAACTCAATCTTGGTTTCATCTGTCCACAGTATATTTTGCCAGTAGTGCTGTGGAACATCCAGGTGCTCTTTTGCAAACTTCAAACGTGCTGCAATCTTCTTTTTGGACAGCAATGGCTTCCTCCGTGGTGTCCTCCCATGTACTCCATTCTTGTTTAATGTTTTCCTTATTGTAGACGTGTCAACAAAAATGTTAGCATGTGCCAGAGATTTCTGTAGGTCTTTAGCTGACACTCTGGGATTCTTCTTTACCTCATGCAGCATTTTGCGCTGTGCTCTTGCAGTCATTTTTACAGGATGACCACGCCTAGGGAGAGTAGCAACAGTGCTAAACTTTCTCCATTTGTAGACAGTCTGTCTTACCGTGGACACATGAACATCAAGGCTTTTGGAGATACTTTTGTAACCCTTTCCAGCTTCATGCAAGTCAACAATTCTTGATGGTAGGTCTTCTGAGAGCTCTTTTCTGCGAGGCATGGTTCACATCAGACAGTGCTTCTTGAAACCAGTAAACCCAAAACAGGTGTGTGTTTTTTAAGGGCAGGACAGCTGTCAGCAACACATCCAATATCATCACACTGATTGGAGTCAAGGTTGGCTCACTCCTGGCTCCAATTAGCTCTGGGAGAAGTCATTAAGCTAGGGCCTCACATACTTTTTCCTCCCTGCACTGTGAATGTTTACATGTTAAGTGCAATTAAACCATGGCAACATCTAATGTTTGTGTAGTGTTATGTTCAGCAGACTGTGTTCTTCTATTGTGACTTAGATGACATTCAGAGCACATTTTATGCCCAATTCATGCAAAACTCCACGTAATCCCAAGGGGTTCACATACTTTTTCTTTGCAACTGTAGATAAATCAAAGGAGTATGTTTCATCCCTCATAAAAGCTAAAATATTAGTTGCAGAGAGATGAAAATACTTCCTTTTGATTGGACACTCTGTGGGCTACATCGGCATATAAAAACTATATTTGAGGTCTATGGAGACTGCCAGAAAAATGCAGGAAATGGTTAGGTGGCGCTGGAGTGCGATAGCGGAACAGTGATTGGTACTGTCGCGATCGGACTGATGCGCTGGTGTCGGAAATTCAATCCCCGACTTGGTGATTCAAGCCGGTCTTGGTCCAATTGACTTTGGGCAGTTCTGTACCCAGAACAGCCTGTGGGCGGGTACAGGAACAGCCCCCCAGAGTCAATTGGCCAAGAATTAATGTCCCGCCTACGTCCATATCCCCATAAATTGAGGACCCTGACATTGGGACATTGTGAGTCGTATGGAGCTGGTTCGATCGACTAACAGATTGCTGACTCTCTGACTTGCTCCAGTCGCAGGGTAAATCTTGGTAACCCTTCATACTAAAATGTGAATTTTCTTACCTGCTGCAAAATCTAATCCTGGATATATGGTTGGGAGCGCCTATTAACAAAAAAAATGGTCATCTCCCTTGGAGGTTCATATGGATGGCCAACTTGATCCAGTTGACTGCCCCCCCTCTATGGTCAAGTGATGCGCTCAGTCCTAATCCAGAAGTAATTAAAGTGTTACTAAACCCCGGACCCTGCATTCATCCAGAACTTGACCTTCCACTTGCTCTCTAGGACCTTAAAGGACTAAACCCCGACCCTGCACTTATATCCGCTCTCTCCAGACCCTGCTATATCTGCTCTCCCCGGACCCTGCATTTACTATATCCGCTCTCCCTGGACCCTGCATTCACTATAGCTGGTCTCCCCGGACCCTGCATTCACTATATCCGGTCTCCCCGGACCTTGCATTCACTATATCCGGTCTCCCCGGACCCTGCATTCACTATATCCGCTCTCCCCGGACCCCCGCATTCACTATATCCGGTCTCCCCGGACCCTGCATTCACTATATCTGGTCTCCTGGTCTCCCTGGACCCTGCATTCACTATATCTGGTCTCCCCGGACCTTGCATTCACTATATCCGGTCTCCCTGGACCCTGCATTCACTATATCCGTTCTCCCAGGACCCTGCATTCACTATATCCGCTCTCCCCGGCACCCCGCATTCACTATATCCGCTCTCCCCGGACCCCGCATTCACTATATCCAGTCTCCCCGGACCCTGCATTCACTATATCTAGTCTCCCCGAGCATTTACTCCCCCTGGACCCAGAACCCTGCATTTCACTATATCTAGTCTCCCTGGACCCTGAATTCACTATATCTAGGTCTCCCCGGATTCACTATATCCCTCCCCAGACCCTGCATTCACTATATCCGGTCTCCCCGGACCCTGCATTCACTATATCTGCTGGACCCTGCATTCTCTATATCAGACCTATATCTGCATTTACCCTGCATATATCTCTCCCCGGTTTCTATATCTGGTCTCCCCGGACCCTGCATTCACTATATCCGCTCTCCCCGGACCCTGCATTCACTATATCTGGTCTCCCCGGACCCTGCATTCACTATATCTGGTCTCCCCGGACCCTGGATTCACTATATCTGGTCTCCCTGGACATTCACTATATCTGGTCTCCCCGCACCCTGCATTCACTATATCTGCTCTCCCCGGACCCTGCATTCACTATATCTGGTCTCCCCGGACCCTGCATTCACTATATCTCTCCCTGGACCCTGCATTCACTATATCCGGTCTCCCCGGACCCTGCATTCACTATATCTGGTCTCCCCGGACCCTGCATTCACTATATCTGGTCCCCCCGGACCCTGCATTCACTATATCTGGTCTCCCCGGACCCTGCATTCACTATATCCGGTCTCCCCGAACCCTGCCCCCGCATTCAACCCCGCATTCACCATAGAGGAGCAGAGAAGAAGTGATCAGACATCCTTTTTACACAATGCAGAGGATTAACCCCTTAGTTTCCACAGTGAGTATAACAAGCACGCTTTACTGCATCTACAGACTGATTGTACTGTAGTGGGTTTAGTGACACTTAAACTAGGTCTACATGCATCTACATGGGTTTTCCTCTTGCAAGGAGTACATCCCCTTTCTCCAATTTTGGATTTACATCAAACTGATCCCCATCCCTGCCTAATTTTCTTCAGCCAGTCTTGTGATCCAGGAAGCCCTGTGAGACAGCAATATATACTGTTGTTCAATAACTGAAGAGGGGAAAGTCCATTCCATTTAATATATCAGATGTTTCTGGTCAATAAATAATCCATACTAAATAGGTGCCTCTAACCACATTTCCAGGACCTGACCTTCTGATGAGAAGTTACCCCAATCCTAACCAGGGAGCCAGCAGCCTAGGACCTTAACTAGGTCTACACACACCTACATGAGTTAACTCTTGTAAATCCAAATGGGTGTGTAACCCTCACAAGAGGTAGGTGTGTGTAGACCCGGTAAAGATCCTAGGCTGCTGCCTCTTTGGCTATGATGGGAGCAATTATTCATCAGAAGGTCATGTCCTAGATATGTGGTTAGCAGAGCCGAGTGCATAGGAATTACTTATTGAACAGAAACGTTGAATATATCCAACGCATTTTAGCGGAGTGGACTTCTTCTTTGGGGCTTGAGCAAAAATATGGAATGCAGTCTGGCAGGGCTTCCTGGTCCACGGGACTGGCTGAAGAAGATAATTAGGTAGGGTTGGGGATGGGTTTCGATGTTATTGGGGGGGGGGGGGGTTGTACTCCTTCTAGTCTTGTGATCCATGAAGCCTGCCAGACAGCAATACTTACTGTTGCACTAGAACTGACAAGGGGAAGTTCATTCCCCCGAATGCATTGAAATTGTCAGATGTTTCTGTTCAATAAATAATCCATATGCACTAGGCTCCTCCAATCACATCTCCAGGATGTGACCTTCTGATGACCAATTACCCCTATTGTAATCAGTGAGGCAGCAGCCTAGGACCTTAACCAGGTCTACACACACCTACATTATCATTATTATTATACAGTATTTATATAGTGCCAAAGGGTATGCTCAGCGCTGTACAGTAGCAAGGGGGACATAACATGAGACAAGACAGTAACAATACACTACACGAGGTGATCGAGGGCCCTGCTCTTTGAGAGCTTAAAATCTAGGAGGGAGGGGAAGGTGGCACAGGAGGAGATGGCTGTGGGGGATGGAGTGGTGGGTGGAGAGGAGGAGGTTGATTGTTAGGTGAGGTCGGGTGTTAGGTGAGGTTGGGGTAGGCTTCCCTGAAGAGGAGGGTTTTCAGGGTGCGCCTGAAGGTGAGGAGGGTAGGTGACAGTCTGATGGATTGGGGTAGGGAGTTCCAGAGGATGGGGGAAGTCCTAGAGAAGTCCTGCAATCGGGCGTGGGAGGAGGAGACCAGGGAGCTAGAGAGCAGGAGGTCCTGTGAGAAGCGGAGGGCACGGGTAGGGTAGTATCTGGGTATCAGGTCAGTTATGTAGTTCGGGGCGGCATTGTGAGTGGCCTTGTAGGTCAGGGTTAGCAGCTTGAACTTGATGCGTTGGGCAATCAGGAGCCAATGAAGGGATTGGCAGAGGGGGGAGGCAGATGTGGAGCGGTTGGTGAGGTGGATGAGTCTGGACGCTGAGTTTAGGATCGACTGGAGTGGGGATAGCGCTCGTTAGGGTAGGCCGGTGAGGAGGGAGTTGCAGTAGTCCAGGCGTGAGATGATGAGGGAGTGTACGAGTTGTTTGGTGGTGTCTGGGGTGAGGAATGTGCATATCTTGGAGATGTTGCGGAGGTGGAGCCTGCAAGATCTAGATAGCAGTTGGATGTGGGATAGGAAGGAGAGGTGGGAGTCCAGGGTGACACCCAGGACTTTGGTGTGTGGGGTGGGAGAGATGGTGGCGTTGTTAGTAGTGATGGAGAGGATGGGGAGTTAACCTCTTCTAAGTAGTACATCTCACTGTTTTGGATTTATATCCAAACTGATCCTCAGCCCTACCTAAATATCTTCAGCCAGTCTTGTGATCCAGGAAGCCTGCCAGACAGCATTACATATTGTTGTTTGTATTCAGCCCCCTTTAATCTGATACCCCCTAACTAAAATCTAGTGGACTAATTGCCTTCAGAAGTCACCTAATTAGTAAAGAGAGTCCACCTGTGTGTAATGTCATCTCATTATAAATACAGCTGTTCTGCGAAGCCCTCAGAGGTTTGTTAGAGAACATTAGTGAACAAACAGCATCATGAAGGCCAAGGAACACACCAGACAGGTCAGGGATAAAGTTGTGGTGAAGTTTAAAGCAGGGTTAGGTTATAAAAAAAATAACATGACATTATGTGGAAAATTTCAAGGGTATGAATACTTTTTCAAGGCACTGTATATTCTTTATTCTTGACAGTGAAGTCGCAAGCAGTGGAAAGACATTGGCCAACATGGTTCGAAGGCCAAGGAATTCTCCTTCATCAAGGCTCGGGTTTGGTATCTAGAGTTAAAATGTGGACTAAGATGAAACCTGGACAAAGGCAATGCCGCTATAAAGCCACTGGGGTATCTGACCATGTTTCTGGTTGAGGTATCCATCCAAGAGCTTTCATTAAAGTGGAAGGCAAGTCAAGACCTAACTAGGCTTAAATCTACCCCGCCCCCATTCTAAATTATTTTATCTACCCTGTAAAAGGAAAGATGCCTATACTTACCTATTCTGAGGGCGCTAAGGTCTGGTCACATGATCTCTTTAGTGCCGGTTTCAGTGTAGAGGGGAGAACCTGGGCGATGACATCACCCATAGGCTTACTAAGGGGCTTCTGCTGTTTGGCTGTCCTTCCTCTACATTGAAGCTGGGCCTGGGACCTGATCATGTGTCCAGACCGGAGTGACTTCAAAATAGGTAGACATAGGCATGTTTCCTTTTGCAGGGTAGACAGAGTAGGCGTAGAATGGGGGTGGGAGTAGATTTAGGATTAGTTAGGTTTCAACTTGCCTTCCACTTTAAAGTTCACATTTGAACTACCCGAGTCCTGATAAAGGGGGTTTCCTTGGCCACCAAAATGCTTTAGGTACTGTTTTCTGATCTCTTCTGTTCATGTGAACTTCTCAAGTTGGGCATGTCCCACTTCTTTGGGACTATCTCCCTACTTTCCTAGTGGCTGACATCCATTTCATAAAAACTACCACCAACCTGTGACTAAAGAAAGCCAGGCATCAGGTTTAACGCCGCTACTCTTTTTCATGACATTGACTTGAACTAGGGGCGTAAGTACAAGGATCGCAATTGCGACCCGGCGCCATCCTTCAGGGAGCCCGTTCAGCTCCCCTGTATACCTGGATAGGAGGGTAGCATATAGATTAAGCTCCGGGAGTGAAGTGAAACGCGTTGGTGGTATGTTTGGATGGAGACCGGGTTGAGGCTGTTACACTTTCTTACTTGGGGTTTGCAGAGATGTGTGGATCATTTTGTGGACATTTTCTTCCCTGTACACGGAACGTAGAATTACCGATACCAGCCATGTTCCTCCTGCAGCCGCTGAATGCCCTCTTCTCCTCCTCTCCCTCCCGCAGGCATTCAGAGGAAAAAGAAGGGGATCAGTTCCTCAATATGCCACCCTGCCGCTCCTCCTATCCAGCTTATTTCTGCTGCCCTGGACCCCATGTGCTCTCTCCCGGCCCCCATGTGCTCTCTCCCGGCCCCCATGTGCTCTCTCCCGGCCCCCATGTGCCTCTCCCGGCCCCCCCATGTGCTCTCTCCCTGCCCCCACGTGCTCTCTCCTGGCCCCCACGTGCTCTCTCCTGGCCCCCACGTGCTCTCTCCCCCGGCCCCCATGTGCTCTCTCCCCCCCACGGCCCTCATGAGCTCTCTCCCGGCCCCCATGTGCTCTCTCCCGGCCCCCATGTGCTCTCTCCTGGCCCCCATATGCTCTCTCCTGGCCCCCATATGCTCTCTCCCGGCCCTCATGAGCTCTCTCCCGCCCCCATGTGCTCTTTCCCAGCCCCCATGTGCTCTCTCCTGGCCCTCATGTGCTCCCTCCCAGCCCCCATGTGCTCTCTCCCAGCCCCCATGTGCTCTCTCCCTGCCACCATGTGCTCTCTCCTGGCCCCCATTCGTCCCCTGCAGCTCTGCTGGCTCCCCCCTCTCCTCTCCCACCAACTGCTCCGGGGAATGTGTCAGGGAAGGGGCCAGTAA